GCCGCCGCCTCCTCCTCCCCTCCCCCTCCATCCCCCTCCCCAGCCGCCGCCTCCCCTTGCACGCTCCCGCCCTCGGCCCGCTCCTGCTCCCTCTCCATCCGCTCCCAGCTCCTTTCTTCCCCGGCTTCTCCGCTCGTCCGCACCTCCAGGCAGCTCTTCTCATCTCCCCATCCCCCCAGTCCCTTACCCTTACCCCTCCCCGCAGCAGCCCCTCATCTCCACAGCCTCCCCTGGAAGTCAGTCAAGAAGACAAAAACCTGTGGGAAGCGTGTGGAGGGCGGCCAGGTGCCTGCCTCTGGGTGTGTGTGAAGGCACGTGGCAGTAGCACAGCGATTCTCAGCCGGGCTGCCACCGCGTCCCAGGACCTCTGCAGGAGGCAAGGACTTCTTCCAGTGGCATGTTTTATTGGACCCGCTGCCGAGTTGGGACAGCACTGGTGTGTGTGCACGCATACTGGTCCGGCCTGGAAAAGGATCCTTTCAAGGGTGATCTATATGCCACACCAGTGGTTCTCCACTTTTATAGACTCAAGGCACCCCTCCAGTTGGGTCCCTTCTTGTCACCTCCTTGCCTATTCTTTTCTCCCCCCTAACCTTTTTCAGTGCGGTTCAGAGGTGATATGTAGCTTAGACCCACTGATACACATATCTCATTTTCATATCATATCATTCCCAGGGTGGCAGGACACCTTGGCTGACAATCACCGTGCTATACTATACTCCTTTATACCGATACCCAGAAGCAGGCACCTGGCCTGACTTCCACACATTTCAGACAACTTTTTATCTCCTTTACTGACTTCCAAAGGAGTTCTCTCTCTCTCTCTTTTGCGCACACACACTTTTCCCCCCAACCTCCAAGGGCAGATGTGAAGTATTACATTTTTAAGAGAGTGCCTTCAGCTCTTCTGAGCATTAAAGTCTTGCAGGGTGACTGGAAAGGCAGTCGCAGGTGAAGCATCACTTGCTGCAGCCTATGCTGCTATGCTGACAGAGGTCCACATAGCTAGCCCTCTAAATCAGGGGTAGGCAAAATACAGCACATGGGCTGGATCTGGCCCACCAAGGGATTTTATCAGCCCTGTGGTAGGTACCTCAGCCCAGGTGCAGAGGGCAGCCTGGGCTGTGGTGCACATCCCTGCTACAGGTGCTGGTTCCATGGGCAGGACATCCCAGGAGTGGATCGCAGATCTGCACCGGGCCCTGGCCTCCCGCTGTCACTACCCCAAGATCCTGGCCCCAGCACCGCTCACCCATCCTGTTCCCAGATGCCACTCCCCTCCCACCTGCGGCCTCATCCCATTGGCCCAGTTGAGGGCACCCTGCCCGCAGGGGCCCAGGCTGATCTCCATGGAGACCCTGCGGCCCGGATCACCAGGTATTGAGAGTGTGGGGCTGGTCCCCAGGGCAGAGCTTCTTAGGGAGTTGTGGTAAGGTTTGATGGCAGGGGGTGGTGCTGGCCTGGTGTGGCTGTTGCTGGATGCTGACCTAGCCTGCAACAGCTCACCAGAACTCCCTAAGTGGCCCTCCAGTCCAAATAATTTCCCTTCCCTGCTCTAAATGCTCTAAGCCCAAACACTGCTGTTAAAGAAGAAATCTGCAAGGTGTTTTATCAGAATCTGTGTTGTGATCCTCTGGAAATGCAATATAGAAGATCCAAGTCTGAGGGGCAAAGATACCATCTTTGTGACTCCTTAATGCTGGGTTTCTCCAGATACTGGCACAGCCCCGCGTACAGATGTGAACAGCCAAGGGGACAGCTCTTACTGCAGCCTTACACGGCCGTCTTTTAACTGCCCTGTGATTTAGAGTAGATGGAGTGCTTTGCACTATGGTTTCTACTTCAATATCCTCTTCCAAACCCTGGCCACTATTGAGCCACACCCCTATGCTGGGGGCTGCACAGAAAAAAATGTAAGGTTATGTATTTTAAGCTACACTACTGATGTGCAAGGGCTTTCCCTATGGGTCTATTCTGTCAGTCCAGAACCTGACCAGCATCTAATAATTTTATATGATTCAAGCAGCAGTTTGGTTAAAACAGCAGCTTGTCAGTCATTTCCCAGACACACGCGCTGCCGGAGGTTAGGTTACCACATTTTTGTAAATATTGTGCTCAAATCTCAAAATGATTCTGAGGCAGAAAACAACATGAGCTTTTCTCAGAGCAAAACTATTGTGAGGGTACATGTAGTGTTAGAGTGATGTAGCCATACTAGTCCAGGAATTATGGACAAGACAAGGGCTTTGGGTAACATTTTTTATTGGAACAACTGCACACATACCCGACTGGCCTGGAAAAAAGCTTCTTCATTCTCTGATCAGCTTCATTTTCCTTTTGGCTCTTGACACCATCAAGCCTATCTGATGTACTGAAAAATCACGGGCTGAGGCCCATCAGGGAATACTATAAGTCTCCCTTAATAAGGATGGACACTGGGTGCACATCAACTAATTCTGGGGGACAAATAAAGAGGAAAGGGAGTGAGTTCATAGGTTAATAACACGGGTGCTGGAAGGGAACTGTGAGCAGAGCATAGTGGCCAACGCCCACTGTTCCCTGAATGAGTCGAGGGAGCCTGTGGATGCTTGCTGAACAATGAAACCCTGCCTGGAGGAGCGAGCAGAGGAAAGAAAGACAGCTGCATGCTTGCTTGGATACTCCAGTCAGAGCTTTCTTCCTGGTCTTGTAATTGGCCACCTTAGCCAGGACATCACAGTGCTCGGTGGGCCATGGATGGGGGGGAGTACGTAACTAAAAAAGTGCAGGGAGAAGTACAGCCAGAATGTCAGCAGGAGGTTCTGGAGAAGGCAGAAAAGGGGCTGCAACCTGGCACACTTGAGGTAGGTGTCTGGTGCAACCAGGCTGATTTGACTTGTATTGGGTGTGTGAGCCTTATGCCCACAGAGCAAGTTAGTGCCCCCCATTAATACAGTGCTATCAGCAGCACAGTACCTAGACTTCCAGCAGCCCCCAGCGAACTTTTAGTATCAGGCCCCTCTTTGCCAGAAATAATGATAATAATAATTAGACAATGGGGAAAAAAAAACATTTTCTGGCCCCCTTTCTGTCCAGGTCCTGGGTGGTCATCCGGTTTGCCCATGCCTGTGCAGGTATGAGTCACTGAATTTGTGGGACAAATAAAAGACAAAACAGGGACGGGGTAAAGATCAAAGGGTCAAAACGAGGGCACTGAGCAGAGCACACTGGACAGTGCCCACTGCCCCTCCAACAAATCCAAGGAGTGGACACTGCCCAATGAAACTGGCCAAAGACATGAATGCACCAGGGACAGGAAAACAGCCCTTGGACCCCATGGAACAGGGCCGACATGTAGGGGGTGCAAGCGGGTGCACGTGCACCCCCTGAGAGTGCCAGTGCACCCCCTGTCAGGTCACGCTCTCTGTTTAGCCAGTGGGCAGGGGGGGCAGGCGGGAGCACCAGTGCCCCCACTGTAAATGCCAGCTAGCGAGCAGGGCCACCAGCAAAAGCGGTGCTTCTGGAAGTGGCCGTGGGAGTGGGCATGTCCGGTTTTATGGTGAGTGGGATCAGCTGCAGGGGATTGCCCCCCTCCACTGGACACGCTCCCCCCAAGTCACTGACTGGAGCTCAATAGGCACCAGACACCCATGCCAGGAGACCTCCCAGCCAGTGCCTCTTCCCCAGACAGGTGTATTGCCAACATAGCTAGGGCCAGGAGAAGATTGACCAGCAGGTCCCAGAGATTGGTGGGGCCACAGATGGGAAGTGCATAAATGAAAAGGTATGGGGAGCTGTGCAACCAGAACCTCTGGGGCATTCAGGAGGCACCTCCAGGTCACTCTCCCCACAGCTGGCAACTGCCTCTCCATACCAGGCAACAAACTGTGTGTAGCAGCTCCTGGAGCTGGAGGCACCCAGTGAGCGGCAGATGCCAGGGAGGCAACTGACTAGGGGGAGAAGGGGCTGGAGTGATCCTGCTGGGTGCACTTTCTCTACAGCATTTACTCCTTGCCAGGGTCGGCTAGCTGCGCCACTGGGCCAACCCAGCGCGGCCCTGCTTGTGTGCTTATGAGCTCCTGGTCCCGCTGGCCTAGGGCTGCCATTCATTCAGGCTCTGTGCTGGGGCTGGCACAGCTCAGACATGAGCACCGTTGCCAGGCTTTCAATATTAGTATTGGAAGCTCAAAATGATTGCATTTTCTGAAAAATGATTGTACACGGGGAAAAAAAGTGTGCAAATAAGTATGCAAATACATCTCCTAATTTACTTCATATTGCTCACTATAAGTAGCCAGCAAATGAGGGAGAACTGCTTCATCCAGGTGGAAGCATTTCTTCATTTCGAGGCCAGCAGTCCCAAGGAAGTGCTGACAGCAGACCCCAGAGATGGTGAAGACTCCCTGAGCGCCTTGGATTTAGTATTGTTACAGAGGTGCTGGTTGTAGCTGTACTGGTCTACGGACATAGGCAGGCAGGCTTCTGTGGGGAGATGTGCTATCTTGTATGAGACCAGCTGCCCAACAAAAGATATCACAACTACCCAAAGCAGCTTGCCTGCCTTGGATTTTGCATGTGCTGCATCAATTAACCGCCTCAAAAGTTATCCTACATTTTGCACACAAGGTTCTTTGGGTGAATCTAATCTCTGTTATTAGACCAGCTTAAATTGTTGGAAAACATTTTCCAACTACTATTTGAGTTGGTCCAATAAAAGAGATCAGATTCACCCAAAGAACCTTGCCTGCCTATGTCCTTAGACTAACATGGCTACAACCTACATCCTACATTTTGAACACTTTTAGCATTATCTATTGTACATCGAATAATGGTGGACATTATCCTGCAAACAGGATAATGACCGTCCCACAAGCAACGCCTGACCCCAGGCGCTCCCTTCCCAGCCCTACCCTGCCCTGCCCAGCCCCGGCTCCTCAGCTGACAGCACCACCCCCCACCCCCCACGCCAGTCACGGGGCCCAACATGGCGGCCAACACGGCGGCTTCGGTCGGGCTGTCACGTGAAACCCAACTTCCCCTCTTTCCGCCTTTCCTTCTTCCGATGCCTAGCTCCACAAGCGCGCTGCCATGCTAGCTTCCGGTGACTCCGGAAGCGGAAGCAGGGGCAAAGAGGACGGTTCTAGTGGCTCTGCAGCTGCAGCCCGGCTGCCGCCTCGTCCTCCGCGCCCCCGCCGCCATGCACCCCGGCTTTCCGAGCAACCGG